TATACATATATATAGCTATGCACATATATATATATATACAAGAACAAAGTACAGTATCTCACACAAATATGGATACATATATAAGGATAAAGTCCTCATGACAACAAAGGAAGAAACACTGTTTGTTCCTTTGGTTATTCCAATGTGCAAAATAGCAGATGTGCGAAATCAAATGCTTTTTACATCCTTATGTTTAGATCACTTTATGTTTAGATTCTTCTTCTATCAAGTTTCCCAATGTTGTAGTTTACAAAGGAGTTTTTTTAAGAATTCTCAAAGTCCTTGGGCCACTTCTTCCTTGAAATCATCTCCCATATATATATAAAGACTTAAAATCCATGAAAGAACATATAATATATGTTTGCTGAGCTATTTACCTTTGTACTCATTCCATTTCCAGTAATTGGACAGAGCATTCGGTATTTTTTAATTATTTACTCCAAGGTTTAAAGGTTGCACCACATCCTCTAAACAAGGCCCCTTCAGCTCTCTTAGCAGAAACAGGCCCACAACATCACAAATCAATTGCCATACTCAACTCTAGGGGTGGCATGCCTTTTGTCGGTTTGTCTTGTGATCCAAACCAGACCCACTATGAGTGTTTGTTGCTGATAAGTACATTTTGGTGTTAACATTCCAATCCAAATTTCTCCAGGCAGAGTTCTAAAAGGATTTAGCAAACTCCATATTTTAAGGTTTGAATGATAAAACAGGAAAATCTCTTTCCTCACAAAATACAAGTTAACATACTCATTATCTTTTGTGGCTCTTTTTGAGACTGGACAACCACACATTGTTAAGGGGGAGTTAAGATCAATTCATTTTCTTTGTCAACCCCTAGCTCCACCTTTGTGTTTATCGCTCTATCCTCTGTTTTTAAAGGTTTCGGAAAATAGCTGTTCTTTGGTAGCCATCTTTAGATTTATCAGAAACCATATGTCTGCCGCAGTCATATTATCTTTACATATTTGTGTCATGTCATAGTTTTAGCACATGGTCACAGTTAGTCATAGATAACCAATTAAATCTTGCTAGACAAAGAACATTTCTTGACATAAATCTAAGCATATTTCATTTAAATGTAAATTATAATGGTTGTTAAATGACTTTTAAACTGCAGCACTGTAATGTCAAAGAAAAAGAAAAGCAGAAAAAATGTATTCTCAATGCTAAACTGGTTTCCCTCAAGTACTCAAACCATACAGAGCATTTATTAGACTGTGTAAGTAATTAATTAGACTACATATGTTTGTTTTATTATTTTTGAAAGCAAATATTGTCTCTACAGGGTTAGAATCACAATAGAATAGATAAGTCCTTTATTGTCCCACAGAATTCATATGAAGTAAAGGAATAAAGAATAAGTCCAGGATAAACCAGTTACCCAACACCTCAACCAACTCCACCACAAAAAATATGTTTAAGTTTGGATGCTTAGGTTTTTATAACAAATGAAGTATTTGCAGAAGAGTGTTGAAATTTAACTGAATAAATTCAAATAACCAACTGAAATGTTCAGACCAAGAACAACATTTTTATATTTATTTAAAAGAGTGAAAAAAATCCCAACTACTATAATATCTCCAAGTAGTTTACAAGATATTTATCACATTTTTTTAAATGAAAGCAGCCATTTTTAAATTAATGTGTAGCTGCTGTGGGAGCAACAGCAAAAAGGCCGCTGAGAGGTCGCTCCAAGGCTACAATGGAAAAAAAAATGCTTTCCTCTCATTAGCACTAATTATTACAGGCCTCCAGTGACATGGATTGGAGCAGGTTATCGTTTCAAGCTCTCAGTGGGTAAATCATACATGAGCAAATGGATTTCTGAGCAGGGAAAGAATGGTTACACTGTGGCATAGCGAGCGGGACCAGGACAGGATCGAAAAGGAGATGGTCCACTGGGGAAATCAGACAGGAATACAGGGTTGTGTGAGGGAGTGGTCTCTGTCAAGCTCTGCCGCTTCCTACGGTTACGTCTCTGGTAGCGGAAATTGAATGGTGGACGCCGGGCCAGTAAGGCTCCACTTTCCTCAGAGGACGAATCCAGAGATCCTGCAGTGTGCTGTTGTCGGTTTACTATGCTCTCTTCAGACTCACTGGAAGAAGAGAGGACAGGGGCAGAGGGGTTAACCAGAATTGGGGCCTCTGAAGGGAGGGAGGGTATAGCTGTAGGGTCAAATGGAGCTTGCTGAGTAGCGGAGGAAGTCGAAGGGTGAGAGGGAATGGGCTGCAGGTCATTTACTGGGTCATCAGGCAGAGGTGGAAAGGTTGGGATCACAGGGTCTGTAGGGAGGTCAAGAACCTGCGGTTTCACTGGTTGGACCATGTCAACATTCTGCAGACAAACATAGAACATCTCACTGCAATTACATATAACCAACCTATACTAACATGCAGAAAAAACGGTTAAATCCTATTTAATATATTGAAGCTCCTGTTTTGTAATAGCTACAGCATAAATGAAAATAGACAATCCAACCCTGTTAGGTATTAACTGTAGATTATTCCAGAAACGATTCATTTATATATATATAAGTTACAGACCCTTGCTATTTCCAATTTTGTTTAAAATAAATCATTTTGCGTTAATTTTTTTTCTTTATTTATCCAGTTTGTTCAGATTTGGGTCCTTCACATTTCTTGACCAAGTGAATTAAAACTACAGAAATGTTTTACAATATATTGCCTCATGATGGTGAACTCCAGCAGCAAGGTAAAAGGAAGAATGCAGATGCAAAACTATGAAATCATAGAATTAAGAATTTGAGAATGCATTATGAAAGGAAATTAGCAATATATATATAAAAAAATAAATTATATTTTTTAGATATTCATGCAGTACCTTGCTCACTTAAAAGTGCATTTTCTGGTGCTGAATTTCTTTGCTATTGCTATATTTATGGTAAATTGCTCATGTTTATCTTTATCACTATTTTCTTATTTACATTAAACCGTTAACTGCAGAAAATTGGAACATTGTCTTCAACCGTTTACAATAATATAGAAAAAAAACCTGTTCCTTATTTGTTACCTGTATTTTAAACATTTCACAGGACACCTTGACATCAGGGTAGTTGTTCAAATCTCCATATACAGATCCTGTACAGAACCCTGCAGTCTGAAGGAAAGAAAATAAAAAACTTTATGGCTTGCTTATTCTTAAATTATTATTAGAGCATCAGGATACAGATAAATTCTGTAATGATTCTGAAGTAAAAGAAAAATTCACTGAAGCTTTTGATCAAAGTAAAGATTAAAATACAGAATAACCAAAAGCAACACCAAGGAGCTGGTTATATGAAAACAAAGAAGATGAACACTGAAGCTTTAGTGACGTTATACAGCTTTTCACTTTCAGGAGACTTTTGGGGCATTATGTAGAGTGTAACAGTTTCATTTGATTTATTCAAAAAAAAAACAAAAAAAAAAAAACTCACAAATCCCCCGTCAGGAAAAATAGCAGAATTTTTATTTACCCCAATCTTTTATGTCACTGTAGATGGTGGGTTTTCTTTCATTTTTTTCAGAGTTGTATTTTTGTTTTGACAGTAGATTTTCTGACAGTTTAGGCAAAAAGCTATTTGTTTGTAGCTAGCATGCATGAAAGGTGGCGGTGCGAAAAACAAAATCAACAAAAAAAAAAGTAAAAATTCTGGTAAAAATGCATCAGTTTAACTTATTTTTGGAAAATTGTTAAGTCATTCTCTAAATATTATACAGTGATTGTTTTTCTGAAAAAGTGTTAAGAATTTGGGATTTTTCCTCTGGAAATCATTTAAATGAAAACTAAATAATTTCCTCCTTTTGTTGTACCTAGAAGTATCTCACACAAATATGGACCTTTAAGCTGTATAACAATCTTGCTTTAGTGCAAAACGTCAAATTAAACCTTTCCCAACAGCGTCCTCTCTGGGGAATGGAAAACAACAATTACAACAGTGAATAAACACAAAAACGCTCCACATTAATCTAAGAAATTACTAATGGAGCACCGCTAAGGTGTGTGAACAGGTTAATCCCTGCTGAAGTACCTGTGTGTCTGATTTGAGAGTCAGTCGCTGGCAGGTCCCTCTCTCTGTAAATCCCTCTGTACACTCCTGGACTGTGTACTCCACAAAGATGGCTTTTGTTGGCACATTCTGTGTAATAAAATAATATGACAAACTGCACAAATGCATCCACAAGTACTGCCAGAGGCAGAGCTGTTGTATTTTTATATGTAATTTCTGTAATGACCATCATTGACTATTACCCTTTATTTTTTCTCCCAAAGCTGCACTGCCATTTACTATAAGAGGCAATGTATAAAGATATGGCCTACAAAGAAACAATTTTGCTCTTGCTGTTTTTGCCGAATATAAGCTGGATAAGTCATAAAGGTGTTAAAATCTTCATTGATCCTTTGAAGCCTTGTGCTGCCAGTGTGTCATAGTTATTGCAGAGCCTTAATGGCTTTCTTCTGGCCCAAAGAAGATCAAATGTTCCCTGTAATGTTTGCCCACACACACACACACACACAGATATCCATCTTAAGTGTAGTTTCTCCATAAAGGTAGCATTCAATAAATTTAGGAGCACTGAATTCAGCAACAAAACCTTGTTTTCTGCACAGGATTAACCGCTGCTATACCTGAACTGCAGCTCGTGTGACCTTTTTCACTCCGAGCCCGACACCCAGGGTGGATTGCCTCCTATAGGCCTCCAGAGTGATCCCAGCAGCATTCATGGCGTCTGGGCTGTCTACAGAGAGCAGGACGGGGCAGGTTGGACACGTCTGCTGTAGCTTCTCTGGTGGATCTGCAGCAATAAAATCTTAGCTCAGTTATATTGTTAGATATTAATGGATATGGATATCAATGTTTGCTGTTTTATCAAAAAGTAGAGCCATGCGTTAACACTAATAGAATAAACCACACTACAGGTTTAACAGGGCTGATAAAATCACACACAAAAAAATAAAAAAAATATATATTAAAGGTAAAATTGTGATCATAAAAGGTATATATTGAGATCATGGTGAAATAAATTCTGTTTTTACCACTTTTTTGATTTGTCACAACAGAGAAAATGTTTTTTTTTTATTGTTTGTAATTTTCCTATTTTGTTTCAGAAAAAAAAAAAATTTTTGCTAAATGTGTCATTTAAGTGAAAATGCATACAATCTTCCTATGTACTATTGTTATGATCATTGCAGCCATTTTATTTGGTTACCCGGTGAGCATTACAGCTCCTTTCTCTAATTTGAGCAACAGCGGCAGCTTTAACAACAGTTTATATATTGTATGGATCTTTTTTTTTTATATTTGGCAGAAAGCATTACCTGGCATGAGAGCGCACTCATAGCTGTAGAGATAAGTGAAGCCCTCCGGTGTCTGCAGGATGGTGGTGTTGCAGCTACCTGAGACTTGCTGAAAGGAATACAGAAGACAAGATTTGTTGCTGGCCTATGCTATTCCACAAATACTTTCTAGGGTTGATAAAAAAAGACTTAATTTTATCCTACACAAACTTAGAGAGACTTCAAAGTAAAATATTTTGGATAACCGAAGCCAATAAGGCCATGTAAAAAAAAGCTCTTTGGTGTATATTATCATATATTCCACAGGAAATCATATATAGCAAGTGCATTGGATGAAAATTGTCTTGATTATTCATGACCAACTTTCTTTTAATCGTTCAAAAATGTGATTGAACAGGTTGAATACCGATATTTTAGAAAATAGGGTGCTCAAAGTAATTTCGTGGTCCACTTTAAAGAATGTGAAAGGCTTCAAGGATCAAGAAATCTTTTACAGATCAAAAGATTGATTAAGAATAGTATTAAGTACAATATAAAGTGGAATAAAGGAATTAGAAGCTACACAGCTGGAACGCAGGACAAAGGTAAACTTTTAAGTAGGATACCAACCCTAAAGGTACTATAGGATTGCATAAATCAATGCTTTGGAATGATCTAGTGAAAATTTCTGTTAAAATTAAAATCCACTTTAAGACTTAAAATTCAGTTTTCATAGATATTCCCAATCCACTTTGGATGATCATAAATAATTTAGTAAAATGGTGACAATCCTTATTGGAGCTGTGAAAAAGTATCTGAAAGTAGGGTGCTACACATCCTGATTATTCAGAAATCAAATAGAAAAGAAAAATATCTGAACAGCTCTTCTGTGTTTTCATAACGAGGGTAGCAGTTATTTCTTATACTTCAGAACTCTTTGATGCTGTTTAAATACAGCTTGACCTTCAGGTATTACAATCAGATTTAATTAAATCTTCTACTAGAGTAAGGAAAGGTAGTTAGCTTTTTTGTTTGTTTGAAGTTCACTTTGGCAAACTGTACCAATAAAAGCCCTCAACGTATAACCTAAAATAAATAATGTAAAGAGTCTAAAATCAGTTTATTTTAATAATTATAAATTGACAATAAGAACAAAAGATCAACCATGGAACAGAACAAAAAGTCCAACAAGTTAGGATGTAAAACATAAGTGCAAAGATTTATTTCTGTGCTCTTTAACCGTGTGTGTCCTACTGTTTCCATGAAGGGTCGGACTTCACAACGCTTCCACGGCTTCGGGCTGCCTATGTGACATTTGGTCTCCAGGACATCCAGGTCCAGATAGTACACACTTCCTGCCGGTCCCTGTTATTTACAATACAAATACAAGATAACGATTTTTTTATAATTTTTTTTTTTTTAAGAAAAGCAACATTATCATACAACTTTGGATGGATTTACTGGATGAGTTTCAATTGAGTGCCTAGTTCAGTTAGATGGAAACTCTCCTGCAAAAGAACTTTATACAATATTGATTTGAGCAAAAACCTTGAAAAAAAAGTTTACTTTTAGATTAGAAGGTTAAATTGTGTCAGTTAGATCCATCTCAGAATGTGGCCTAAGATCACAACACAGCAAAAGGATAATAAAGCCATTTTGTTAAGGGGGGGTCTCCTAAATTAACCTGGATATTACTGACAGTACTTTAGACCTATAGGCTCTCTTTTATGAGCTTTTAGAGCAGACGCTTCTCATTTTAGAATATTAAAGGAAGCACTTTCATTTTATTTTAACAGATATTAAAAGTAATATTGGCAACCAATAGTATGGACAGCAAACATCTATTACCTTTTTTTAGTTACTATAGATTCCTTGTTGTTGTTGCTTTTATTTTATTTTATGTTTATCCTATAAATACCAGATTGATTGTAAAAACCTTTTAAGCTCATGTTGATTCCTTCTTCAAACCTTCCCCAAACAGTGTCAAGAAACCACAGCTCCTGTTTTGTTATAGTTACAGCAAAAATACAAATAGACAATTCATCCATGTTAGGTGTTAACTGTAGATTTGTGTTTTGCTGACCTGTGCATGCAAGTAGACATTGGTGATCCGGTTGAGGGCAAACTTGTAGCCCTCGTTGCGATCCTCGTTGATGTAAGTAACTGCTAGGCGAGACAGCTTTTCCACAGCTTTGTCTGTACATGGAATTGGAGAAAGTTCAACAGGCATCAGCAGAAAACCTTCCCCGTTCACATGAAAAGTGTGAAGAGATATGAGAGACATTAGCAAAAGAAACGTGGAGATGTCCATGGTTGCAGAGGTATGGACAAAAAGTGAAGTTTGTTCTACTCTGTTTGCTTAAAACCAGAGAGTGACTTTTGGAATCAAAAGATGACGTCGAAAGGAAGCCAAGGACAATGTTTGTTTGGGAACAGAGCGGCTGATATTTTTGAATGAAGATGTGAGGGGATCTTTTAACCCCTGATGTACAAGAGTGAACTGCTACCAACAAGCAGCTCTCTTTCTAATTCAAGTGTTGAGCAAAAGTTTTTTTTTACATAATGTTTCTTGGTGGAAAAAATGTCCATAGCAGTGTGGCTTATGGGAAAAAGGTGATATTCCCCTAAATATAGTTACTGGATGGGGTACCATGAATTTGTGATACCTGACAGAGTTGTTAATGTTGTGGAAAAATCCTTTCCATCCACGTTTATTCCTACTGGGGTCGCGAGGGGTGCCGGTGCCTATCTCCTCTCTGTCTATGGGCAAGAGATACACACTCACCTAAGGAGAATTTAAAGAATCCAATTAACCTAACAGTCATGTTTTTATAAGGAGGAAGCCAGAGTACCCAGAGAGAACCCATACATGCACCAGGAGAAAATGAAAACTCCATGCAGAAAGACCCGGGATTGGTAATCGAAGCCGGAACCTTATCGCTGCAAGGCAGCAGAGCTACTTACTGCTCCATTGTGAAGCCCATACGTGGAAAAATTGTATCATATGTTTTATTTCCTCTATATCCAACTCTTAACCAGTCCACATGTGATTCATATTAAATGTCATTTCAAAAAAATGTATAATACAATGAGGAAAATTTTAATTATACATGTTATATTCATATTAAATCATATTTAATATGAATCACATGTGGACTGGTTGAGGATTTGCTTGTGTGTTTGCTTGTCTGTACTGTATATATTTGACCTTTTGCACGGGAGCTGCAATGGAAATTTCGTTGAATTCTGTTCAGTGACAATAAATGCTATCTATCTATCTATCTATCTAAAAATCATTGACTCAGTCACTTCATGAGCCAGCCTGGTTCAAATGGAGCTCTAGTATTTAGTTCTGTAGTGCTATTAGTGCACCAGTAGGAGCCACTGTGCACTCACTATGATGTGCTGAGGTATTTCAATTCTGCATGCAATACTGAGTTAAACGATGGCAAACTAAAACTAATCTTGTCATGTTTTATCTCTGAATAAACATTTTCCTAAAAGCAGTCAGACAAACACAAATAATATAACCCTGAAGATTTATGAGAATATTGAAAAAAAAAATCTGAATTTCACTTCTACAAACATTTCTGAAAAAAATGTTAAATCTATTTTGATTTGTATGTATTGTAAATACCATGCTATAATTACGCATTCTCTAATCTTATTCTTTCTGTTTTTGTTTTTTTTTTCCTCATAAATTTAAGCTAAAAAAATGGAGCCAGGCTTGTCTGTCTGCTGTGGGTGTGGTTCTCACTTTGGAACCAGTCAGATTTCACTCCCAGTACTTTCAACAGATCGGTTAATGTCTGTAACAGCAGCTCAGACTCACAGCAGACTGGCAAACACAAACACAGTCTCTCTCTTCGTCAGCCTCTCCCACACACGCATTTGATTCATCACAGTTTGGAGACATAATCACAGAAAGTGCAGCTATTTGATTAAAAATCTATTAGCTTTGAGAAGGGTGCTAACCAGTTTAAATTTACCTTTCTCTTTGTCTGCAATGACTAAAAACCTTTGAAAAATTGTGCTTGCTAGACTCTTCAGTAGTGCAGTCATGCAAAATGCACATCTCCACATAGGTAATAGAAAATCCGCTGTGCATGCAATCTCTATAAAACTAGGACCTTAGCACCAGCAGCTGTAGCATGTTGTGTTTTCATCTAGTGAGCAGTTGGGTGGGGGTTGCATTCACCATATACTGTGAAGTGTTGGATGATTTTGGGTTTGTCGAGTTAATGGTTGATTTGTACATGCACACGCATCAAAGCGAACCTGATAATAGGATACATTTTCTTGGAGGCTGACATCAACTTTTTAATGGGAAAGTCTAGTTTTTGGCAATAAAACAAAACAAAAACAACAAAAGACTGAGAAGGAGAGGTAGTGGAATCCAGCAGGACAAGATGGTGAAGTGGAGAAAGCAAAAGGGTTCCAGCCGAGGTTAGACACTTAAGAACAAAAAGGACAAAGATGGGAGTTAATGAGGTAAAATCCTTAGTTTGAGTAGATTCAAGTTAAATTGTAAGCTTGTTATGGTTTGTATTAGATATTGATAATCACTTGTGTCTGCAAGCTGTTTATAATGTTTGTGGTAAAGTCTAAGTCTTCCTCACTTGTTTACATTTTCTGTGAGGAGACATATAATTTTGCAAAGTAGTTTATCGAACAGTTATTCTCTCCTTTTATAAAGGCCTTCTCTCAAAACTAGCTGCTCTTTTGTTTTTATCTCTGATGGCAAATAAACGTCTTTTCTTCTCAGTAATTTGTTTATCAACCATCAGATAAAATGATAACCAATTTCAAATGCATATTTCTTTTTCCTAATTCCTCACAGTTTGGGTCTTGAAGGGCAGACTAGACATGGAGAATCATTCCCAACTTGGATTGACACAATGGGGTAATTTTAAGATGATTTGTTTGCTTAATGAAAAATTTTGGAGATCCTGACATGCTTTCTAAGTATACTTTAATGCACATTATTTCTGCTTCCACTGACTCAGTAATGTGTAATGTCACCATAGCATATACATACGTGCAGAATTTCACGCTCATATGTCAGTAGAGATTTTGCACACCTGATGTCTGTACATACAACTAGAGCACAGTTTGTTTCATATTTTAATTATTTCTAACTTTTAAAAACATACACTGCAACTCCTGGTAGTTAATACTTTTCTCAAGGTTTCTGAAATAATGGTGATGGTATAGATGACAATCCCCCTCTACAGCTGAGTGGAATATTCATAAAGACAGAACAGTTGATACCTGAAAACCAAAACTACCTACATATTTGTCATATTTGTCCTCATCACAAACTAATTCCATCTTAAAAAACCTCTTAAGTGTTTTTCAAATACCGTAGGGGTTTTGCTGCATGTGTATATTGGAAGTAAATACTAATGAAAAGTATGACAGGTGGTGTGTACTTTGATAAATGATTAGTATTAGTAGTAGTAAGTTAGTTATTAATACATTTCTTATGAATCTACAAATGTAATGAATCATATGCAATTTAACCTACATGGTTTTGTTTTCTGATTAAATTTAATATTTTGGGATGGTCCAGAATTAGTCCTGAACTGAATATGACAGAGAGATGTTAGAGGGAGCATAAGATTAGGGTGATGGTAAGAAGAGCTTGAAAACATAGACACTGAAAGTCTTTACCAAAAATAAACAGATTTCTATAACCTATTTTTACATTCCACTTTGCAGCCACTATACCTGGTGTTATTTGGGGAGTGGCGGCCTATTGGTTAGGGCACAGAGCTAGGAATCCTGAGCTTCTGAATTCAAGCCGCACTTTCACAGACTGCCACTCTGAGCAAAAACACCCTTAACCCCAGACTGCTCCCTGGGCGCTGCACAATGGCAGCCCACTGCTCCCCAAGGGGATGGGTTAAATGCAGAGATTTCATTTCATTGCTCTGTACTTGTGAGAGTGGAATGACAATACAAGCTGGGGAAAAAAGAATACTGGGGGGAGGGGCTTTGTTGCAGAAAAGCTATATAGATTGACTGCCCTGGAGTCAAGCAGAAATCATTACAAACAACATAATGAAATTACTGTAGGGATTGCCTAAATGGGTACAATGGGTAATGCTGACTAAAAATGATTTTTAAGATCTATTACTATATTTGGTAATAAAAGTCTGGATGTGTTATAATAGATTGAATCACAATTTGTTACCGGAAACATTAAGCAGCAACAAAAGCAGCACGATATTCCCAAAGCAAATACAGTTTCTCTCATCGAAATCTTTTCTACAATTTTTCTGTTAGGTGATGTGTGGGTTTTCACACTTTAAACCGACCTTCGAAATTGCCCTACATTGTAAAGCTATGCTTGCACAGTTTCTGGGATTAGTGCAAAGTGTGAACAGGATAAAGTTTGTAAGGCAGAGGAACACTGTTTGGTGAGAAACTACCACTGAGTCCCAGCTTATAAAGTGAAGTTATTTATTAAAAATAAAACCAAATTTGACTCAGCTGGGGTTAAATAATGTTTACTTGTCTCCTCTGAATGAAGCGTTTTAATGCACAAAGTAAAGACTAAGCATCATTTTCACACATAGACTTCTTTTTCTAATCATCTGTCCTGCGATAATCCGTTTTCCTTAATCCATTTCAAGTATTCACTGAACCAGGTTCACCTATCAGCAAAAGCTGGAGAAGGAAGACAGAGATACTCGCTCAGCAGAACAAATTCTACTAATATCAGAAGAAAAAGAGCTGCCTCAGTGTTGTGTGTCTTTGTGTGTTTCATACAAGGGGAACAGGAACTGGTGTTTGTGTGCACGTTAGACTGTATAGAACCCCGAATTTATGCATCAGTGTTACCGGGAGCCAGCTGTGCTACAGCAGAAAGCAAAGAGAGTCTGTGGGGGAGAGATAAGAACGGAGAGGCTGCACCAAGGGCCTGCTCTACCAGCAAAACGCCAGGCCCAAGTTAGACAAACCTCCTTTGATGTCAGCACAGAATAATCTCCCCCTTCTGCTCGCTGAGCAGAGATGCCACGCTGCAGTGATAACCAAGCACAGATATGAGGGGGCCGCTGCTGTTCACTTTGTACTACAATGCGCCTGGGGTGGATGGGGAGACAACAAGAGAGGAGAAATAAAAAGAAAAAGAAAATTGAAAATAAGTGATGAGAGGATGACTTAAATTCTAATGGCGGTAAACATACTATTAAAGTTTAATGCTGACACACAAAACCTTTAACAAATCATATAAAATCAACTAGGGAGATTAGGCATACAAACAACAGTTGTTTTTAACAAGAGGATGATGGAGAAATTAACCTG